AATATATTTTCCGCCAGGGTTTGTCAAGATGCGGGTTGCGAAACTCCAATGAAATCTTGATATGATCGTTAAGCAGTTCATAGGGGAGGTGAAACGGTTGTGTTTGAGGATATATGCACATACGTAGGTGATGACAATTTGGAAAATTCTGAGGAAATTTTGGGAATTTCTTGTTGGTGTATGTAGTACACTTCTACCCTGATTCGTATAATTAGTTTTGGAAACTCTTCTGAGCTCAGCAGTTGAGGAAAGCGATTACATATATTCCTACTCCAACACTGTATAGGAAACTCTTCTGAGCTCAGCAGCTGAGGAAAGCGATTACATATATTCCTACTCCAACACTGTATAGGAAACTCTTCTGAGCTCAGCAGCTGAGGAAAGCGATTACATATATTCCTACTCCAACACTGTATAGGAAACTCTTCTGAGCTCAGCAGCTGAGGAAAGCGATTACATATATTCCTACTCCAACAATATTGTCTCCAACAGGTTATCGATAGGAATTTAGAAGGTCTGCGTAAAACAGCAGATGGTAGATTGAAATTGCGTCTACACCCAAAAATGCCAAGTACCATAAAGTCTTCTGGTGAGCTTCTGTTGCGTCGGTTCGATCCCTAGTTGCTTCACTTTAGCATACGAAACAAGCAACTTTTTATTCAAAGCGAGGAAGCATAAAAGTGGGAAAGTGACGTAAGTGGGTATCAAGTGAGAGATATTTTCGATTCGAAATTTCCGGAAAATTTCCGAACGAGCTACTTGATACTTGGAAATTGCGGTTTATAGTCGTCAGCATACTTCCACCATAGGAGGAGACATTTGCTTATTACCTTTTAGTGGTCAACTGGAAAATATGATTTCTTTTGCTGACAAGTTAACATAAGATTTCGACTGGAAGCGACATACAGAAATTTCCTAAAATTTCCTCCCAGAATTTTCATATTGTCATCAACCATGTGCGTATTTTCCCCCCACACACTGGCAATTCATCTCGGTTCGATTATCGCAATTTTACAAATTTATATATGGAAAATTTCGGTAAAATTACTCAGAAAATCCGCGATAATTTTCCAAAATTTCCCCAAAATTTTCATATTTTCCCCCTCACTCTTGGTTAGGTACAAGCTGGTGGGGCTCATTACGGAGGCCCATGCGTTTGCTGATATGTGCGACTTTATGTTCACACCACCGAAGGAGACCAGGGATACGTTCATATACACGGCGGCGATATCGCAAATATGTCGCCCTCAAGCGTAAGTAAAAATGGTGAATTATATTCTATATGGAATATAATATTAATGGAATTATATTCTAATATATACTATTATGGATCTATTACGGTTAGGTATAATTTTGAGGGCAATGCGTATGCCAAGAAAAAGAAAGACACCCCAGCTGTGGAGGAAGGAGGGGAAGGTGAGCTTCTTTGTGTGCATATGTAGTTTTTCTTAAATTTGAGAGTAGTGCGACTACAGACTATGGAATGCTATTAAAACGTTTGTTATCGCATTGAGCTCGGAATTGACGAAAGTTGAAGGTGTTGACAATATTACGCAACGGCACAATTGACTCTCGAATTTAAAGTTTCTGGCAAAGTTTATCACTATTTGCATAATAGTTAGTATTATTTTGTCAGTAATTCCTTATTAATTGTTTATAAAAATGCATATTTCACGACCACTGCATATCACCGCAAATATCGCCTTTTTCACACCGAGTAATACGACGACGCCACTTCACATAAAACGGATAGTCGTGAAAGTCCATTATTTTTTTTACTGATTTTTAATTTCAAATAGGGGAATTCGGGCAGATTATCGGAATTCTCCTCTCTGTGCGACGGAGAATGCATTCTCGGTTACTGAGGGGAGAATATATGCACATGGTCAACTATATGTGTTGCTAGCAATATGGAAATCTTGAGGAAATTTTTTTCGAAATTATCGTTCATTTTTGTATACTTATACCCAAAATCGTGTGATTTTTCATAAAATAGTGAGGAAAACTACGAGCTCAGTTGAGGAAAGCAAACATATATTCCCATACTGCTCGGATCACTCGACAATCGAATGCTTTCTCATTGTCCGTACCTCTTCCTCATCTGAAACTCCATCATCAATCTCTTAACTATTTTTTATTAGTTCATTTTATAGTATTGTTATTATTATTATCCGATTCTCCTGTTTAGAGGAGGAGCACGACAATGGACATCATCCGAATCCTAAAGTGCCAGTGCATAGATTTGGCGATACCACACCTGTAAGTATCCATAATCGATCACGTGATCGATTTGATCAGGTGCC